ACCCCCACGGCGAAGGTCGCAGAGACGTGGGGATCGGACCATTCATAGGGGTTCTTGGACCACGACAGACCCAAGCAAAACAGTACAAGGCCGGAAGCCAAGAAGAAGTAGCCAACCCAATCCAACTTTGCAAGCTTCTCCGTCAAAGTGAGACTTTTCTGAAGAGGGCGGAGAGGAGGATTGTAGACGGCAATGCATAGGATGGCAGACACGGCGTATAGAGCCAAAGCCATGTAGAAGTAGGATCGGAACCCATCAGATGCCGGGTTGTTGGTTCTGTTGAAGGCCCCGCCCACCAGTAGACCGAGAATGCTGCCGAGGCCATTTGAGATCATGTCGGATGCCTGTCCATAAGCGCGCCACTTGCGAGGCAGTACCTCTGAAGATACTGTATGAAGCAGAGGCTGGGCGCCGAAGGCCACGCCGATGATGCAGAACCCAGCAATGCACATCTCGATACTCGTTGAGCGGGCGACGATAATAGAGCCAATCGCGCCAAAGAAGGTCGGGATGACGATGAACCATTTGCGACCCCAGTAATCCGCAGCTTGTGAGAAAATGGGTCCGAGAACGACGGTCATGATGGTGATAACTGCCGAGAGCCAACTCGTCTTATCTGTGGCACCAAAGTGACCCGCGATGGTTTGACCTTGCTGTAAGACATCTCACGTCAGTTGTCGTTGCATTGGTGTGAGGGGTAGTAGATGTTGTGCAACTTACAGCACCAGCGCCAATAAGACTGAATAGTTGCGCGAAGTAGATCAAAGCCACTGCAGAAACAGCCAGGAAAGTCTTCGCGTGAAGTTTAGGCCCGGGCTCATCGGAAACCTGGCTGCCATCTGATGATCCGGGGGCAGACTTCTCAGCGCTATCGACGATGACAGCGTCGTCGGTTGGCTTCTCCGCCATGTTGGTATTATCTGCCGACATGTCTGCCAGAGATCGCGGGAAAGGACGGCTGCGATGAAGTTCGGATCACCGCATAGATACGCGAGAGAAGTGGACGAGAAACAAAGCTCAGTCAAAGTGACTGGCTGGACGAAAAGATTGTTTAGAGAGGTGCAGATCAATGAGAAAAGAAACGGCGGCACAGCCAAAAGGGAGGTCGAAGTACTAATACGCACCGCTCCGAGATGATCGGCAGTCTGTGTTCGCAGGGAGTTCGGACGTCCGTGGGCATGTTTTTTCAAAGACATCTGGGACGGACGGATCAACACGTCTAAAACTCTTGGTTCGTCGCCTATTGCATGATCTGGGGAACCCTCCCGCCGGCCGATGTAGGACTTGACCACTGGTTCCATTAGCGATGTACACTGACCTGTGAACCTGGGAAGAAGACGTTGGTGCATGGCGCATCGCAGTTCCACGTGTGGTCTGGCCCTGAGAATATCGTCTCAGGTATTTCAAGGGGTACTCCGTGTGGTGACACTGTGGTAGCCATCGCCCGTTGGAGAAACTGGAATGACCAGGATATGTACACGTAAGAGGCACAGCACCCGGATGAAGGTTCGAAAGGGCTATGAATCCCGTAGCAACATTTTTTCTCTACCATCAGATCTCCAACAAGCTCACTGCTCAGACACATCCAGATTGTACTTTTATTCAATCTTCAGTGCAAGCAAGACCCATAACACGCCATCTAAAGTCCTCCAACATTAACGATCAACCATTGTGCCTTTCTTCAGGACATCCCACAGCAGAACTGACTCGAGCGGGTGTGTGTACAAGGATCGGCCCGCTGGTGCTTGGCTCCCCGAGACCCCTGAATTGACGGAAAGGGCGCACGGCCTCAACGTTATTAGGCGGATCTCGACCCATGAAAAGGCCTCGGCGCTGAAGAACATGCCAGAGATGATATGTTTCTGGCCAGATTCACTTTTAGCGTGCAGAAGGGGAGCTGGGGTAACGCTAACTCTGTTCCTGACAGTTTTCAACGACAGGCAGAATGTAGTTCGTCGTTCCATGTTTGCTCGTCGGTGGTGAAGAATAAAAAGAAGACTGCGTTGCGGGGGAAAACCGAGAATCCCCACTGGAGTTCTGCACGAAATCGGAACTCGGACATGACGTTCCCTAACATGCAGCTATCACCGATAGGCCGCAGCGATTTGTTGACTCAAATTCACTGGCTGCATGTGAAACGCGTAACTTGCGTTCTTCTCATACACCACAGCCTACCAGTGAGCAAAATTTGCCTCCATGTTCGATATTTAGGGCGGGCGTGGAGCTCAAACAAGCGAACACCCATTCCACATAGCCATGTCCAATAGGGACCCCAAGCGAGATATCCGGCCTGTCGCCGCTGTGGGACTCATTTTGACAAACCTGGTTCTGGTCCTGGAATAGCGCAGGTGTCCGGTCTGGAGCTTGCAGAACAGCTTGACCAACAAATACGCACGGGATGCCGGCGGAAGACTTCGAGCCTCATCTCTTGCCTTTCTTGAGTTAGGCCGTCTTGCCGCCCCCTTGCATGGCCGCATAGAACGATTAACGCCAGTTCAGGAACCGAAATGGCCCGAAGAGCCCAAGATACGCTTCGGAACAATATCCCGCCCACATTACTGAACATTGAACCAACACGAGCGACAGCCGTGAACACTCTGGCCAGTCGGAACGAATTAGCACCGTCGTATCGGCGAGCTTCCTAAAGCTGCCATCCCTGGGGATTCTGGATCCTGAACTTTTCCAGGTTGACAGCGAGAACTCCTTCCACACCTTTGAGAAGTTCCCGTAATTACCACCAATAGCCTCGTTCTGCGAGATCCATGCCCCCATGAAAGAGCTGGTTGCCTTCAATTTTCTCGCGCTTTTGGTGGAGCAAACGGAGATACAACCCCTAGCTGACGAAGCATACATCCGTGGCTCTTGATGTTGCGTACTCTCCTCGCTCCGTCGGTTGTGAGGAGAGATGATCCCCCCTTCATTTTCATCCCAAGAACCATCGCAAACTCACGCACGACCTCATTTGCCTCGGAAAGCCACCAATTGCGTAAGGTGACTGTTAGACGCCGTCTTCATATTTCCTTCCCTTCATCATCACCCAGCCATGCTTGACATCGTCATTATCGGAGCAGGCATCGCGGGCCTCTCCGCCGGAATCTCGCTTCGCCGCGCGGGCCACAAGGTGCACATCTACGAGCGATCCGCGATGAACAACGAAGTGGGCGCCGCCATACACGTCCCTCCCAATGTCGCACGCTTCCTTGTCCGCTGGGGTCTCGACCCCGAGGCCGCTGGCTTCGTCAAAGCTGGCCCGATCGAGTTCAAGGACCCTGTGACCCAGGCGACCACGATGGCCATGTCGCATGCCCAGAACTACGAGCGTTACGGCGCCGATCTGTGGTACGCGCATCGCGTCGATCTGCACGACGCTCTGAAACAGAAGGCGACGGACCCGCTGGGGCCGGGCACTCCCGTGACGATCCATCTCAAGTCATGGGCTGTTGAATACGTGAGCTCCCCGTTGTGTTCCTGCTGAGCTGCTGTAAATGTGTACTGCGGCTTTTCGCTCCACAATAGACTTACATGTACGCCTTATAGAACCCCAAAGTTCCATCGGTGCTGCTGAACGACGGTGAAAAGATAACAGCGGACTTGGTCATTGGCGCTGATGGAGTTCACTCCATTGCCAGCGAGACTGTGCTTGGCAGGAAAAACCCTCCCGTTCCTGCGGGTCATTACAACTGCTGCTACCGTTTCCTGATCCCAAAGGACGTTCTCGAACAAGACGAGGAGACCAGAATTTTCAACGAGAACTCGGACAACCTTATCCGCCTCTACCCTGACCACGCGACGAGTCGACGACTTGTCTCCTACCCATGCCGCAAGTAAGTATGCAACCCAGTGGGATCAGAACATTAGGTCTGATGTTATAGGAACACTATCCATAACTTCGTCGGACTTTTCTACGATGAAGACATGAAGTCGGTAACCAAGGAGGGTGAGTGAATCGACAAAGACTTGCGCTGCTCTGTGACATTAACCACGCTGTATCGCCTCAGACTATCATGCCGACTTCGACAAGAATGTCGCGCTTGAGCGATTCGACGGATTCCACCCTGGTCTCAAGGCTGTTATCAAGTGAGTCTTCCAATCAAGGATGTTAACTAAATTTTCGTACTAAATCAAAGACAGCAAAGCAACAGAGATCAAGAGATGGCCGCTGCTGTACCGCGCTCCTCTGCCAACATGGCGCAAGGGCAAGTTGGCCCTGGCTGGAGATGCGGCGCACCCAATGCTACCTCGTGAGTTTGATCATACCTTTCTTTTGCAGGCTCCTACTGACAAGTCGAAGATCAGGGTCAAGGCGGCGCCCAGGGAATCGAGGACGGTGTTGCTCTCGGCATCATTTTCTCCAATGCCACAGATTCCTCTCAGATCGAGGAGCGGATGGCACTATACGAGAAGCTCCGCCGCGGTCGTGCTAGTGCCATTCAAATTCTCAGTAACGTGGGTATTGATGAGGCGCACAAGGTCAAGAAGGATCTCATGGATTTCTTGAACGAGGAAGACATTCCTAGTGAGTCGAGGTTATGATCCTGGAAGAAAGCGCCACTGACCATGGAACAGCGGACCACCGTGAAATCATGTCTTTCACTTACAGTTACGACGTCATCCAGGAGGCTACCGAGGTCATGAAGGAGTTTGATCATGACTTCGCATTGCCCCCGAACTTCTTCGATTACATGGAGAAGACAGAAGCCGAGAGTAGCTCGGTTAAGCTTGAGACACAAGTTCGATTCAATGCCCAGCCTATCGTAGCATGAGACAATTCGACGGCATAAGGTCACGGTGATTGGATATTGCAAAGTAGTGAGCTGATCAGCGTAGAGGCTACGTTGGGAAACGTCCATAAGCTCTGTAACGATGGACTTCAAACAACTCAAACTAATGTCCCTTGGGCAATAGAGTAAACGTAATACAAACGATGCAAGCATCAACCTTTCATGCAGCAAAAGTTTTAGGACGCTTTGTGACCACGATCTTCTTCGAGTCGCCATTATTCAACTCCACACATCCTCAAACCATCTCTTTGACCTCTTCCTTTCCTGTCTCCAGCTTTCGACTTGATCATCTTCCCATTCTTGGGTCACCTTAACTGTCTCTCTCACGACGTTGCCGGCGGCCTTGGCCATGTTCGCGGCACCACAAATATAAAATGCAGCATCCTCATCCAGCAACAAGCGACCAAGATCCCGGCTTCGCTCCCGAAGCCGGTGTTGCACGTAGGTCTTCTGGCTGTTCACCCGTGAAAATGCTGTAATGACCTCGAGCTTTCCAGCCAGGGCACCGTCCATCAATTCAGCAAGCTCGTCTTTGAAAAGATAATCTGACTCATTTTGGCATCCAAAGAACAAGACCATTGTTCCAATCTCCTTGCCAACAGATGCAAGCCGGGCGCATTCCTGTACAAAAGCTCGGAATGGTGCTATGCCGGTGCCGGCGGCGACCATCACCAGTGGCACAGAAGGGAGGATAGGAAGCTTGAAGGATGATCCACAGATCTGTGCATGAACTTGAGACATGTTGGTTAAAGCTGTCTCGGGAGACCCGGGCCTGTTTGGCTGAAGGCGAGATAGATATGTGCTTGCAAGGCCCGCGATAGTGACATCTGGCTTGGCTGCCAACTGGGAAGGTTTGACCGAGACAGTGAGACTGACGTGACGAGGCGAGGTGATCCTAGAACTTGAGATAGAGTACAGACGTGGCTGCATCGCTGGTAAGAAGTCGATCATGAATGACAAGGGCAGGTTTGTCCACGTGGCTGACGGATCAACGGTAAGGGTATGCTTGAGAAGCCGGGCGAGAGTAAGATGGTTTTGTTCCAGGAAGGCTGCGTAAGTCTCTCTGTCATGGCCAATTGTCTTGAGTTCGGTCTTGACCTTATCGGTAGACGCAAATTGGGCCAGGGATAGGACTGCCTCTCGTGGAACAGCTGCGCAAATCTCAAGGTAATGCTGGCAGAGTGCCTGAATTGTGGTTGGGCTTGGTACTTTGGGCTCTTCCTCGGTGGCCTTGCTGACCACCTGAATTGACCCGTTTCTTCTGGAGTCCAAGCCCAGAAGCTCAAGCAAGGACTCGACCTCATCAATCGGGTTGACAGGCCAGATGGCGATGTGGTCTCCAGTCTTGTACTTGATCTCAAGGTGACTCGACAAGTCCACCTCCAGATCGATTAGGCTATGTCCTTGGCCATCGTGTCGCGCAAGCTCACGTTTGGCTCTGACAGGCAGTGCAGCAATCTCAGAGTGGAGGGATGTGGCCTTCTTCGATATTGCTCTGTAGAAAGGCTTCCCGACATGATCGTCCACGTTATCGACGATGACATCGACGCTGGGCTCGTACTCGACATCGTACTCCTTGTAGGCAAAGTCATTCACAAGCGTTTTGAAGAGGCTCTCTTTCCAGTCCATGAAGTCTTCCTCAGTTGTTCTGGTGGCTTCGTTGCCCTTGCCAGTGGGCAGAATTGCCGTGGCTCGGAAGCTTGCGAGGGCCGTCACAACGTCGTCAATGACTTTGTTGTAGAATCGATAGTTGCTGTTACCACATCCAAAGGCTGCGTACTTCAGGTGTTCCAGAGAAACGCCGGTCATTCTGGAGGTCCAACTGACAAAGTCCTGAGCGTTGTCGCTGGGATCACCTTCTCCGTAGGTGGACATAATGAAAATGCAAAGCTTCGACTCCGGTATGAGAGGGATGGTCTCAGCGTCATAGTCTGACAGATCCGTTACAAGAGCATTTAGCTTGAAGCGTTGGTGGAATTCGCGGGCGAGACGTTGGGTGAAGCCTTCGGCCGTGCCAGATTGGGAACCCCAGAAAATAACCAGGTCAGATCCGAGTTCTTGAATCTTCTCTGCGATATTTATGGTCCGTTTTGTGAGAGTGACATTGCCGCCCGTAGACTCTTGGGGCTTCCAAAACCATTTTTGGTAATACGGGTCGGTCTTGGGGAGGATGCTCCCTCCGTTGAAGACGAAGAGGGATCCCAGGATAACGAGAGGGAGGAGGAAGTAATCGTCGTAGGTGGCCTGCTTCGACAAAACGTTGACAGCATCCATCAAAAAGCCGACTTTGAGTATTGTTGGAAGTCAAAGATGTAGCCATGTTGAATCCGTGCTTTGCTTGTGAGAGAAGCTGGACGGCCATAGTCGACCAAAGCGAGGGAGTTGCTATTAACCTTCTGGTACCAACGGGAGAACACTCTGGTAAGATATTTTTATCGATCATTTCCAACGTCGACGCGAATAAGCGATCACTTTCCGAATACCGAGATAAGCCATCAGTTCAATCACTGAATTATGATATCCCTAGCCACTCGACACAAGTGCCGTTTACGAAAATGGTAATCTTTCGCCGGTTTTCACACCGGGACGACGTCACGTCGATTTATGTTAATGTTACTCTAGACCCGAAACCATGCCCCAACCCCACGGGGAACATGGCCTCCCCGCATGCGTGGTCCGTCAGCCGCATATCGGTCAGACTTGGCGTCAAGAAAGGCTCACGATATCTTGGGGTATTCGCTTCAAATGGAAGGCATCCGGCGAATTATTTCCAAAGGCAGATGCCTTAGACCCAGATACCGAGCTTTCGGCGAATTATGACCCGTTTGAAAACGAAATTGAGTGACATCCTTTATTCATTGTGGCTTTCTGACGTGTGACTTCTACCTCTTGCTCGGTAGCCGATCTCTTTGATCGACAGGCAAGACAGTTCCCCGCGGATTATGCCAGAGCATCCAGTCCCGCGGGTTCTGGAAACGAAATAGGATAGAGCCCAGCCTGTGAAGGGTGCTGGGGATACTGTAGGATTGTTGGATAGGACTGTGTGTAATCCTTTCACGAAGATTGAGTATAAGACTGTTGCTCTCGATGCCACTCTTTGCAAATAACAGCCCATCGACTTCACTTCGGCCTCTTTGATCTTCAAGGTCATCTTCACTTAGATCCTGAAGTTAAAATGTTGGGCTATTTTGCTGCGGGCCTTGCGGCCCTCGCCGCTATTACTTACCTCGTCATTCGACCTATCTTCCTCTACTTCTACGACTCCAAGGGTCTCCGCAAATACCCCAATTATGCTCCCCTATCACCATTTACAGACTTGAGGCACTGCTATCTCACAGCTCAAGGCTTCCGTTCCAAGGAGCTTCATGAGACGCATCAGACAACAGGGCTGCCAATCTTGAGAACTGGTCCTAATGCCCTATCCTTTGGCGACACCCGAGCCATCAAAGACATCTACGGTCACAGCACCAAGTGTGTCAAGGACAACAATTACGTTGTTCTGAGCGGGAGCCACAGGCATCTCTTCGATGTTGTTGACAAGCCGGAGCATGCGCGAAAGCGCAAGTTGTTGTCGGCTGCTTTCGCCATCAAGAACCTCGAAAAGTGGGAGTACAAGGTCGCCTACACTGCAGAGCGCCTTTTCAAGGCATTCGATGAGAAATGCACCGAGCCTTTGAAAGGCACCATCCCCGAGCCTCAGGATCTCACCATCAACTTCAACCACTGGATCAACCTCTGGACCATTGAAGCCATCAACTTCATCACCCTTTCCTCCAAGATGGATCTCCTTGATACCGGAACGGATGTTGTCACGGCTGAGAGGCGCGACGGCAGCACATACAAAGCTCGCTACCGCCACTCTCAGAACCAGACAGCAATCGCCCAAGCAGTGTTCGTTTGGGACTACAATCTATGGCCTTGGATTGAGTGGATCACCAAGTCTGTTCCCAGCAAGTACAAGAAGATTTGGGAGGACGGCAAGCCCTGGGATGATGTGTACTACCACGCTGCTGCTGCGCGCCTGCGCAAGTACCAAGCCGGTGAAAAGCTGGACGACTTTTTTTCTTGTATGATGGAAGACAAGACTGGCTCTCCCAACAACCTTGACTGGGGTGAGCTTGTCGCCGAGGTCGGCGCCATCATCAACGCTGGATCAGACACCACAGCTATCGCCCTAACGCATATTTTGGAACTTTTGATCCAGTATCCCGAGCACATGGACAGACTTCGCAAAGAGGTCGACAGCGTCCTAGAGCCTGAAGAGGTGATCGCTCCCTATGACAAAGTTAAGGACCTCCCATTTCTGAAGGCATGCATCGACGAGGCCCTCCGCTTCATCCCGCCCACGTCAGCTCCATTGCCTCGTCGCACGCCTCCGGAGGGAGCTCGCATTCTGGATGAGTGGATTCCTGGCAATACCAGTGTCTCGATGACCATCTATGGAGCGCACCGAGATCCGAAAATTTTCCCTGATCCGGAAACCTTCAAGCCGACGAGGTGGCTGGACCCTGAGGAGAGGAAGCGCATGGAGCCGTATTTCATCCCCTTTTCGACCGGGGCGCGTGGCTGTATCGGGAGGAACATTTCGTACTTGGAGCAGATCATGATGTTGGCCTCATTGGTCCATCGGTATGAGTTTGCGTTGCCTTCTCCTGACTTCAAGTTGGAGAGATTTGAGGCTTTCAACATTATTTGCGGGCCTATGCCGATTAAGATTTGGCGAAGGACACTTGAGTAACATGTTGAAGCCTCATGTTGTCTAAATTGACACCAAATAGCTATTGGATTACAACAAAGACTTGAGATACGACTATTATTTGCAAGAGCACTGGCTCCTGAATGGCGGCTACCCTTGCGTACTCTAAGCTTCTGGGTGCTGAGATGTTGTTCTTGCTGAGCTTTATTTATTAGCAAGTTCCATACAAGCTGAAGTAATATAGTCGAGTAAAGCCGGCCATGAATTTGTTTCGGCCTTCTAGGAATCTCTGCTGTTCTTGATGTATTACGGGGGAGAAATCCATTTGCGATGCCCATTTTGCAAAGTCTACCACACTCAGCTTGGTCGTCAACTCAGATGGTAGACCTGCCAATGTCATTTCTCTCGAACGTGAAGTCTTTCCCCTGGGCTTTACTCTCGAGTAATCCGTGATCAAGAATAAAACGGCAACAATCTCCGCCGGGAAAAATCACCATTGAATTGCAATCTTGCCAGAACCAGATACTTCCTTCTAACTAGGCAAAGCGTTCCTCGTGGCCCATAGTCCATGACTGTCAGCTAGAACCTGGGGTAGTTTCGTATCTGTGCTCAATATTCAGACTGAACAAGCGCCATGTAATTGACTCATAGATAAGCAAAAGGTCTTGCGGGCAAGGTCTGACGCAATATTAACCCCGTTATTGGTCATGCTTCCATATCTGCTACGACTGTGACGATAGGCTCTACATCGCCATCTCCGACTCTCCGATGACATGGAGGACACTCGGCAAGAGAACTTAATGCCGTCCTTGGCGCAAAGTACTGAAGCATTATGCCTTTTGACGGTACGGCCGGACCCCAATTTCGAGGGATTGGTCTGGCTGCTGCGCTCCAGGGATGCAGGCGTGCGTGTGAAAGACCCCACAGCCTGCTCCAGGCGCAGATGACAGCTAAGCTTGCCCCTGACTCTACTTCTGATATCAGCTAGCGCCATCGCCAGATTCGAGTGACAAGGCTAAAGATGACGCTTCTGAGGCTGGGGTGCATGTCTCGGCTGGTAGAGACAATTCATGTTTGGGTCCGAGATGGTTTGCGGGGAAGTTGGAGTAGACTGAGAAGCCCATCCCAATTAGGCAGTCACTCGCCGAAATGCCGGCGAATTCGCGCCTCTTTTGGATGATCCATTCAAATCATCGAACGCCCCCAGGCGAGGCGCGTCACGCGGTGTGGGTCGAACGCTCGGCCATCTGAACTTGGTGAGTCGATCTCTGTCCAATGTTGTACCAACTCTTTCATAGTCTTCTATTCCCCGCCCGTGATGTACTCAGTCTGCAAGCTGATTCACTCCCCTGCTCTAGTTCCAACCAGAGCACGAATAAATCGCCGGGGATATGTGACCGCAGACAATTGACAGGCAGTCTACCCCGTGGGGGAAGCACGTTAGCTCCCGGCTGTCTCTTTCTCCAAGAATCGAGAATCTCCAAAACAGTCCGCCCTTGACATTGCCTCTGTCCTGATTGGCTGGCGGCATTGACCATGTCCGCTGTTGCCATGGATGTAGAAGTTGATGTTAAGAACATCGGCCAAAGTATAAAGAGATGAGTTGAGAAGCTATTCAAAAACTTTTGTCTCATCTGCTGTTCGACACTAGTTCAGAGGAAATCTCAACTGAGCCATCCACCATCACTCTCCGGGACCTCAGACTAAGAGCCCTGCACCCCTTTTCCAATCTTCCGTGTCCCGGCTCATTGTGTGCAACGGACGTGAATCCGTCATGTCCGACCTCGAAAAGACGCAGTCGCGCAGCGGTGCTCACAGTCAAGTTGAAGATGTTAATGCGAACATCTTAGCACAGGCTGACGCGCCGATTAACTACGATGTTGATGGCATCAAGGGCATCGTGCGGTCCCCATACGTATTGGGGGCCGCTCTCTTGGCTTCCTTTGGTGGATTCTCCTTCGGTTACGGTACGTCCACTCCCAATCGTCAGAATCGCCACGTAAAGATCGTGTCTAATCAAGCGCGTCAGATCAGGGTGTCATATCAATCATCCTGGTCATGCCCCAGTTCCACGACCAATTCCCCGAAACGTCCCCCGACCACCCGAGATATGGCTTCAACACCGGCTTCATGACCGGCATGCTTGAGTTCGGAGCTTTCATAGGCTGCCTGTTTCTCCCATACCTCGCCGACAAAATCTCCCGCAAATGGGCCCTCACGATCGCCACATTCTTCTTCTGCGTCGGCGCCATCATCCAAACCGCGGCCCATAACTACGGCACCTTGGTCGCCGGCCGAACCATCGGCGGAATCGGCGTCGGAACCCTGGCCATGGGTGCGCCATTGTACATCTCTGAGATTGCACCTCCAAACCTGCGAGGCTCTCTTCTCGTTCTCGAGTCCATCAGCATCGTGATTGGTGCCATTGTCGCGTACTGGATCACGTTCGGAACGCGAAGCATCTCCGGCGAGTGGGCTTTCAGGCTCCCTTTTGCTCTGCAAATGGCTCCGGCGCTGATGGTGGGCCTCGGCATCCACTTCTTCCCGTTCTCTCCGCGGTGGCTCGCGATGGTCGGCC